TTTGCATCACACTGTTGCTCGGCTGAACCGAGTGTAAACAGACCGTGGAGGTTCTCTGTTGTGATTTTTACTCGCACAGCTCATTTTTTGGATCGTTTTGCTAATCCATCTGAGCAGCAGCCCACTGTGGTCACCGCTACACTCTGTAATGTTAAGGAAGGCCTGAATGAACAAAAGGAAAATATAGATTAGTGAGGGAATTGGGAGAGTGAGGTGGAGGAGGTGCAGCGGAGGGGTGAGGGATGCTGATGCTGCTGCAGTGGTTCCGCCGCTCCATCCCACTCTCCCGGGTAAACATGGAAAAACAAGGAGTGGTTCTGTGATTCCCTACAAACATGAGCACAAGTGCACAGGGAGAGAAAGCGGCAGGGGAGGAGGGGAAGGAAGGGGGAGGAGGCGACGCTCCGCACACTACAATCTATTCTCACACTTCAGCATCAATATAACGACTGACATATGGAGCGTTTGTTCCAAGGAGCCGAGGAGGAGAAGGAGGTCTGAGCGGTAAGTTCCATCATTTCTTTGCCTACAAAAGGAAACAGTTGACGGTGCGACGCCGCCTCGGTTCCATCACTTTAATCTCCCCCGACATTTAGACAGATTTACGGACAATTTATTGGAAGACGTGAAGAGAAGAGTTGCAGTTTTGCAGCAGATTGCCGCTCGGCCAGAGTCCTGCCGATTGGCAGTCATTATGATGCGGTGATCAACTACATCCAGCGCCACCACAGCGAGTGCCTATTAGATGACTTGATGAGCACTGCACCTGCACGCAGCGTCATATTTAACCAACAGCATGCCTCCCTTCTTTGTAGCCTGTAAGCGAGGGAAAGACAAAGCTGGTCAGAACCTAAACCCACGCCCTGCACACAGTTAGAGACTGTGCCGTGAACAGGAAGCTCTCTGTCAGAGGAGGCCGGTGCATCTCCAGACAAAGACAGCTTCATCTCCGAGACTGTCACACCGAGAACAGGTGTTGTCTGTCAGTCATTTTGTCTGGTTATCTAGGCCAGTGGGCCAACACGAGCCCGAGTGGACGGTCGAGAAACGCGACGTGACACTTTGAAGTTTGCCTCCAAAAGTTTTGAGAGGATGGACAGTTATTACGCTGTCTGTGTTTTATTTGTCGAGTGTTCGTGTTGTGTCTGGGTGAAGTGGCCGCTGCACTGGTACAGGCAGAAGAATAAACATCGTTAGAAACAACACAGTTACTCCCGAGCGCTTATGTGGTCATTCTCCCTGGAGGAGCCCAGCCTCCACGGCCTCCTCCTCCGTGTGGGCCACGTTTGATTCTCTGTCCTGATTTACAAGCATAAATATATGAGATGACATTGATTTTCTGTTGTTGGACTGTCCAGATGGATCATCTCACTGTCAGTTCAATAAGAAGACATTGTTAATTGCATGTTTTTAATCAAGTTTGTGAACACAGAAGAGTGAGTGGTCATTGTTTTAAATTATATATATATATATATATATAAAGATTTTCTCCCTTTAAGTCCTTA